TGTTTCCCTTCCTCCCTGAGCCTGGTCCTTACCAAGTTCTTTTAAAAAAATATGTTTAATATTTTTATTTTATGTGTATGAGCATGTTGCCTGAATGTAAGTACACTTGTGTTGTGCAGTGCCTATGGAGGTCAGCAGAAGGCACTGGATCCCCTGGAAGTGGAGTTATGGATGGTTGTTAGCTGCCATGTGGGTGCTGGGAATTGAACCTGGGTCCTCTGCAAGAACAATCAGTGCTTTTAACTGCTGAGCCATCTCTCCAGCCCCCATGCTCCATTTTTATCACAACACTTACTGCCTAACCTGTAGTTCAGTGACCTATTACGTCTGTTCATATCTGGTTTTCTTTACTAAAATTTAAGCTTCAGGAAAGGAACATTTTTCCCTCTCCCTCTTTCATTTACTGAGGTGTGGAAAGTGACCCACCAATGCCCAGCACACAATTCATTCCTTATATATTGATCAAATTAAGGATTTTATGGTATCAAAAGCAGTTATGCATAAACAAATCCATTTGGGATTCTCTCCAATCACAAATCCTTTAGAAAGAGTGACAGAGCAGAACCTGAGCTAACATGGAAAGCAGTTAACCATGTAATGGTTTATTAAAACCCAACTGGACCAAGAAAAGCAAGTTTATGAACGGAAAGCCTGTGTGCTGCTTGGGGAGAGGAATCCTGTGGCTTCTCTGGTTGCATTTTCATATCGAGCTTTTACATTGACTTTAGATTTGTAGATATTGTGGCCTCCTGTGGATCTGCTGCTATATGCTAACACTCCTCCCCTCCTGTCCCCTTTCACCATAGGCCCAGCTTCCTTTTCTTGAAAACAAGCAGTGTGTTTAAGTATCACCTGACCCTGGTGGCTAGTGTATTGCTCAAAAGCTGTTAGTGCCTCCCTTACTTTTGCTTCTAGGACAACTTTGTTCTGTCCTCATTGCATTGTCAGCCACAGAGAGACTGAGACGAGACGATGCTGCATAGATGGTGTTATTTTCTGTACTTTCATTATTGTATTTTGTTGGGAACTGGTTGAAAGAGTTATTTACAATTCAGCTAGCTGATGGTCCATGGATTTCTCACTAATGATTGAAGCTGGTTCTGTACAGCTCCTTGAAAATCAGATGTATAGGGCTCTATTGTTCTGTTTATATGTGCAGATTAATTGCAGAAGTTGTATCTTTTGAAAGTAGTACTGCAGGATAAAACTGTCCGGGAAGTGATGGAAGTATTGTTTTGAAGACAGTGCAGTTTACTGTTTGCTTAGAAGGTCCTGTTTATAGTGGTTTGTCATAGAGGCAACAGCACCATCAATTTTTTTTTCTTTATTCTCTCCAGCACATTGGCTGCTAAATACATTGTAGAAGTTGCAATATGTTAATCATTTAAAATGTTAATATGTATGGATTTATCAATTGTGATAATTATGGTGCATTTTTTTACACATAATAAGTCATCATCAAATATTTTATCATTGGGGTCCAGCAAGACAGTTTAGCAGGTAAAAGCATGTTGTGGTACACATGTGATATATATGGCACACACATGTGCATATAGATAGATAGATAGATAGATAGATAGATGATAAATAGATAGATAAATATAGATATAGATATATACACAGTAAAAATTTTAAAAATGACATTGAATTAAAATTTCAGTTGGAATTGTGCTAAGTCCAAATGTAGTCTTTTAATCATAGATTCTGGTTAGTTTAACTCTCCATGTTATAACAAACACTAGTCATTCAAAACACCTTTTGTTATTTTCTTCAATCAGGATTTAACAATATGGAGCTTAGGATATAGCTCAGAGGTAGAATGTTTGCCCAGAATGTATGAGGTCCTGAGTTCAGTCCCCAATACTGCAAAGACAATTATAAGTTCACTTCAATTCCCCCTGAGTGTTAGAGCAGCTAAGGAAGATGGTACTAATATCAATTAATTCCCTAAAAATTCTCTTATTCAGTTTTCATTCAGTTCCTTATTTTTGTTTCATTTTTAATGAATTTTTCAAGTCACTATTTGTAATATTTTGGTATGCATTTAAATATTATTAAATGCCAGATCCCTGATTGCAGAAAAAAGAACATATTATTATTTGGTCTTTTTGAGGCAAGGTCTTCCTGGAACTTCCTATATAGACCAGACTGGACTCAATCTCACAGAGATATGCCTGCCTCTGCCTCTGAGTGCTGGATTAAAGTCATGCACCACCATGCCCAGCTCAATATTTTATTATTTTGGTTATCAAGTTTTCATTTTTTCTTTTAAATTTTTATTTATTTTATTTTATGTGTATGGGTGTATTGCCTGCATACATGTAAGTACACCTATGTCATGAAATGCCCATGGAGGTTAGAAGAGGACATTGGAACCCCTGGAACTGGAGTTACAGATGGTTCTTAGCAACCATGTAGGTGCTGGAAATCAAACCTGGGTCCTCTGAAAGAGCAGCTAGTGCTCTTAACCATCTCTCCAGCCACCATTTTTCATTTTTCAATGAAAATAAACAAAAACCAATATACATTTGTATTTAAAGGCATGACTCTTCCCTTGTGCCAGAGCTCAAACGTAAAGTTTTTTAAATATATTTCTTTTTTGTTTATTAGTTTTATGTATATTTTGAGTTTTTGTGTATTTCATTTAATAGATCTTCATCAAATTTAGACCCCCTACCCCATCTGCATCCCCCATAGTGCCCCCCAATGGATTTCAATGCATTCTGCCATATACGTTAAGGCCTATCTAGTCAAGCATTTGTACCCAGATGTCCCTTGGTGCAAGTTCATTCACTGGGGAGTGATTGTAAATAGACTGACTGGACTCCAGTGATGAACTTACAGTGAAGACATCTGTATACAATTTTTTTAAGATGATTTGTTTCTTTGAGAGAGCGAGATTCATTTCACAGCTCTATGAAAAGTGCAGTGACTCTAAAGGATGTAAATGATGTAGCTTATATTTTGGTGGGTATTTTGGCAGCTACATAGCATGAATGTTATTATTTTATTTGTGCAAATAAGACAGAGATCAATAAATTAACTTACATGTATAAAAAGAACCTACTGTAAAATTATATTTGGAGAATTTAGAAAAGTTACAATGCAAATTTTGATTAAACAAATTAGTAAAACATGTAATTGATAATAGATTTTATTTAAATATATTCACGTATAAGTGTATATGTTTTTATATAATAAATGATATATAATGAAATTCAATAATTGTGTTAAGTTATAGTACTTTTGATTAACAACCTTTTAAACAAACACAAAAAGTGCATCTTAAAAGAATATTTGTAGACTGGGGAGATGGCTCTGTGAGTAAGAGCACTTGCTGATAAAATAAGAGGACCTGGATTCAGATGTGCATCACCTATGTAAAAGCTGGGAATGGTGTACTTGTAACCTCAGCAGTGAGGGAGAGAGGCAGGCCAATCCCAGGAGCTGGCTCACCAGCTAGCTGCCTAGCCAGTACATGAGCTTCAGCGTCAGTGAGGGACCCTGTCTCACAAAATTAAGATGGAGACAATGGAGGAAGGCTCCCTCTGTCCTCTAGCCTCCACCATGTACTCATGTGGGCACCACCCCCATACATATGCCTCTCTCTCTCTCTCTCTCTCTCTCTCTCTCTCTCTCTCTCATTTCTTTCACCACTGGGAGTTATAGATAAAAATGTAATTTTGATTCTTTTAATGTCATGCATTAAATTAGTAATGCACTTAATGGATAGAAAAATTATTTTTCTTGTGCATCTAATATTAAAATGTTTAATGGCAAATTATAGTGTTTATTATGTTGTGATACTAATGTGTAGAGTCACAATAAAGAAAACTATTTTACAAATAGGAGTCATGTAAAATATAAGTGCATGTAGAAAGTTTGATAGTGACTATGGCTATACTAGAAAGCACTGAATCGCTCTATGGTGCCCAGCATATCTCTGTTACTGTCACTGAATTTGCATCTTCAATTCTTCTTCATGCAGAATTTGCTTTAATTTGTTAAGATCTAAGATTAACTTTATTTAATTCTCTAGAATAAACATTAAAGGTCTTTCACTTTACTTTCATTTGGTAGCTCTCAAGAGATCTTCAGAAATCAAACTCCTCAAATATTTATTTCTTGTACTTTCCTTAATTAGAGGAGGTTTACAAGGGGCGTGCTGGTGCACTCCTCTAATCCCAGCACTTGGGAGGCAGAGGCAATCCTAGTCTACATAGGGAGCTCCAGATTTGCTGATGCTATGGGAGACCCTGTCTAAAAACACCACCAAAAGTAGAAGAGGTTATGGAGAAGATAACATACTGTGACATCACTGGATAACTTTATTGGTTGCCCTTCCTTTTGATTATTCATGCTGTTCTTTCTTTTTAATTATTTTTAAATTTTATTGAACTTTTGAGATTTTCATACAATATAATTTAGTGGTATTTAGATCCCCTCCCCCCATCTACACCTCCTTTACTGACCCTCACCCAATTTAATGTACTCTACTATATGTATATGAGATAAGGCCTATAGAGTCTAATTTGTGTCCCCCCAAAAGTTCTTCAGTGTGGGTCCATCCACTGGAGCCTGGTTAACCTACCAAGAGTCACATCCTTATTCTTTGCAAATTTCATAAGTGTAAATAATGTATTTTGATCATATCCACCTTACTCCCCCTCCAACTCCTTTAAGATCCCCCTTTGAGTTCCCCTCCCAACTCTATGTCCTCTTCTTTGGGGGGGGTGTGGGTTATATGTATGACATACTGAGTACAAAATTAATGCTACACAAATGAGCATGGGTGTAAAGCCATCCTCTGGAGCACGGTCCAGGGGCCACAATCCCTGAAGAAAACTAGCTCTCCCTCTCTGAGACGCCATCAATTGCCAATAGCTCCTCAGTAGGATTAGGGCCTCATGAGCCCTTCTCCTATCTGTTCTTGCTGTTATTTCTGTGGATTATTGACGACTATCAACTTTAGGTATTGTTTTCAAATTCTTTATCTTTAGATTGTCATAATGGAAGTGCAAGGTTTGAAGTCAGTGGCTCCCAATCGAATTGTCTACTGTACAATGGAGGTGGAAGGTGGAGAAAAGCTCCAGACGGATCAGGCTGAAGCTTCAAGGCCACAGTAAGCTTGCTGAAAGTTATATATATATTTTTTAATTTAATCCAAAAATGTTTTATTTATCCATACAATTCTATGGAAATTGAATCTGAAAGTGTCATTTGGCCAGCTTTGTCTCACCTGTGTTAACACTGTGCCCCTTTCTGTGTATTGATGAAAAGTGACAGATTTTGTTGATTTGGATTTGATTTCTTTTGGTTAACTGGGCTAAGAGTCTATCTTGTTTGACCTTTCAAAGATCCAGCTCTTAGATTCATTGATTTTTTTTTGTTTCTATTTCATTAATTTCTGCTCTGAGTTTTGTTATTTCTTCTCATCTACTAGGTTTGGGCTTGGTTTGTTTTTGCCTTTCCAGAGTCTTGAGTTGTACTGTCAAGTTGTTTACTTGTGCGTCTGATTTTATTAATGTAGGAACTAAAAGCTGTAAACTTCCCTCTTAGGACTGCTTTTAGGGTGTCCCAGAGGTTTTGTTGTGTTGTGTTCTCGTTTTCATTTTGTTCCATGAATACTAATTTCTTTATTTCTTCTTTGACCCATTCATGGTTCAGGAGTGTGTTGTTTAATCTCCTTAAGTTTGGTTTTTACTAGAGCTTTTGCTGTTGATTTTAAGCTTTATTGCCCTATGGTCTGATAGAAGGCATGGAATTATTTCTTTTTTTTTTGTATTTGTTGAGAGATTTGTTTTGTGCCCTAGAATGTGGTCAATTTTAGAATAACTTACATGAACTGCTGAATAGAAAGTGTATTCTTTGGTGCTTGGGAAAGATGTCTGTTAGGTCCATTTGATGTATGGTATCATTTAATTCAGATGTCTCTCTGTTTATTCTTGTCCAGTTGACCTGTCTATTGAAGAAAGTGGGGTATTAAAGTCACCCACTATCACTAAGTTGGTGTCAATCTTTGTTTTATAGTCCTGGACTACTGATTTTATGAAATAGGGTGCTCCAGAGTTTGATGCACCCACCCATGGCTCAGGGACCATTGCAGAAGATGAGGTGGAAAGATTGTAAGAGCAAGGGCTGGTTCATGAACACAGGGAGGTGGAGGCTTCCAGGCCACTGGTGGCTTGCTCATGTAAGTTTGTGGTAGCAGTGGTGTCACGTGCGGGACCCTTGTGAGCTCAGTTAAACAAGGGCCCAAATGGGAGGTGAAAAATAGGTGATGGGCCAGCACTAGATTGAGAACTATTTGAACCTGATTGCTGCTGGGTAAGGGAGAGTATGACTTACATATGGCCACTGGATGGGCTGACTAGACTCCAGTGGATACATTTACACTGAAGGACATTTGGGTACAAACACCTGAACTAATAGGACTCAGCGTGTGTGGCAGAGTGCATAGGGTTTGGTTGGGGGATAGGGGGAGGCATGGATGGGGGAGGGGTCTGGATTTGAGTGGGAAATGTATAAAATTTTAAAAGCTCAATTAAAAATGTTTTTAAAAGGTGACAGAATCCATGTGTGATACACACAGAAATCCAGCATGCAGATGTGAAGCTGACCATTGCACAAGAGGTTTCTAAGTCATTTGCAAGGATTATATGAGTTGGACTCCCCACATACCTGTATCATTTAGGGTTCTGTGTGGACTGCTGATGTTGTCTTGCAGTAGCTTTCCCTTTCCAATGTGCAATTGTGCAGTCATAGAAATGTAGAAGACTACTCAATAGCTTGGAATGTTCCAGTGAGTAGGGTTGAGTTAAAGGTCCAATTAATATCATCACATAGCAATCAGAAATGATAAAGCTGTTCTTTGCTGACTTTTAATGTTTCAAACTCCAAAAATTATTTTAATGAAATTTGGAAGATATTCTTTTTATCTGATGTAAACGTGGGAAGCCCGGTCTCTGTTAGAAATTGCCCCTCTCCTGAGGGAGTCAAATGCAACTTCCCTGACATTCATTTGAATCCCTCTTTTAATATACTTATTTTTCTCTTTCTGCTTTGTCATGGAATTAATGTGCATCCTGTTCAGTCAGGAAACCTCTGCTGAGATCCTGGCTAGCACTGATTAGGCACTGAAGAGGAAAATGAACAAAAAGCATGGCTTTGAAGCAGGCAGTCTGGCAGGATACAGAGGGTGACATGTTAAGAGAAGAGATTTAACGAGAGTATTAGGTCTAGAAGAATCCGGTTGAACTCCTCACCCTGCCAAGCCTGACATGCCTGCCCTGCCCAGCCTCTCATTCCCTCTGGAACTTCACTCTGTTTCCTTATCCACTCCTGATCCTCTGCCCTGCTCTTCATGTGGTCCTGGAAACACATCACAGCCACACTGATAATGTCCCCTGGCGTTACCCTCTGCTTGCAATCTTCCTTCTTTTCTTGGTGTAGCTGGATATTTGGCATCGGGAATCTCAGACTTCAGTTCTTAAGAATTCATCTTCCTTTTGATAACAAACCAGTGAGGAACAGAGATTTTCTGCCTTGCCTTTTTAATTTTTGGACTGATATTTTTCTCCTCTGTTTTATTTTGTACTGTGTCACTCCTTAAATGTAAAAATTCATAATCTATTCATTCTTACATCTTAGTATATTTGCATTTACTAAGTAATTACTCAGAATTTATTTGGATTGATTGAAGTTATTTGTTACTTGGTTAAGGCAAATTTTTGATGGTAATATAATCACATATTAAAAAATATTTTATTCATTCTTTGACAGTTTTTTAAATATTTTATTTTTTATTTTTATTTTATGTGTATTTGTGTATTACCTGCATGTAGGTAAGTGTACCCCTGTCATGCATGCCCACGGAGGACAGAAGAGGTTGTCAAAGCTCCTGGAACTGGAATTACAGACAGTTGTTAGCTGCCATGTGGGATTTGAACCCAGATCTTCTGCAAGAACAGTCAGTATTATTAATTGCTGAGCCATCTCTCCAACTCTGACAATTTTATATAATGTATTTTGATCATACTCACTTTCCATCTCCCAACCCCTCCCAGATCCCCTTCCTTCCCTATTCAGCCAAACTCAGATTCTTTTTCTTTTTAACCCATCAAGTTCAATTTGTGTTGCTCAAATACTATTGAGTGTGGAACCTGCCCTGGAGTGTGGCTGACCTACCAGGGGTCATACCTTTAAAGAAAAAATGACACATAGTTTGAAAACATGTGCCCTGCCCATTTGTAGATCATTCCTGACCCCATGCACAGGTCCAGGAAAGCACCCATAAATGGAGCACTATAATTTTAGTTTTCCAGGACATTTCATAAGAATGGAATCATGAAATACTTAGTCTTTGTATCTGACTTTTGTCTGCTTAGCATAGTTTCTACAAAATCTTGTATTGAACTTGAACTTAAATATTTGATCAATGAAGTGAGCTGCCTTTTACTCAATGATTTTTTAACACTAATATTTTTACAAATAATAAAAGTTCTTATAGAATATTGCTTATTAAATATATACACTCATAAAGAGATTCTGATAGGGAGCATATTAGTAAATATTTTAATGAATTAAAATTCTTGAATATCAGAGAGAAAAATGTTACAAGAAAGCCCTAGTACTTTTTAGATTATTCTTTCCACAAGGAAATTGGACCAAAATAGCCTTTCTGGTTTTTTGTGAGCACTGAGGTAACTTTTAAAATGAATTAAAAGATTTGAATTGATCGCCGCTTCCTAGAGGCAGATAGCCTTAAACACGTATTGCCCCAGTGCTCACCAACCACAGCTCTCCACGGTGAGGTTACCTTCACCCCAATTTCATCTTGCACAACAGGAAAAAGGTTTGTCTCCTCCTTCATCATCCTGAATTATGCCTCAGACACGTTTTCTAAATTTTATTGCTTTAACAGTTTGCGCTTTGTTGGAGATCAATTCATCTTTCTGTCTGATGCTAATTAAAGTGCCTTATTTAGTCCATATTTCCAATAAACTTAATCAAGATTTCTAGTCATTGCCTATTTAATTCCTGTAGTTCAGAATTCCTGACAGCAATTATGTGGAAAAAGCATGTAAAGCTGGTGTATAACTCAGAACATAGAACTTGGGGTCTGATAAAAATGCTGTTGACAGACAAGTTTGATTCCCAAAGAGTAGTAGGTTAAACAATCTAATTTGGTAAAGTTTTGCTTTTAATTTTAATGTTTTAATAAGCAAAAGGGAATGGGGAGAAACTGTTTTTTCAGTTATATAGTAAGCTCTTTTATTTAAGAATTTTTAATGCATTGCTTTATAGTCTTTCAGTGAATCAGGAAAGTTTTATTCCCTAGGAATGAGATATAAAAGTGTTCCTGATAAATAGTTTTTATAACATTTTACCTTTTCCAATCATCTTGTTCATCTCAGGTTTAGCCTGTACCATTAATGAACCCACCCAAAAGGAAATGGAAGGGTAGTAAAAATGAATGACAAATTGAGGCTGGAAGATTTGCTATGGCCGTGGGATACTCACAGATTTCCTGATATGTCTAGACTTTTAAGCTCCATTCCCTTCAAGTGGCGGTCCTCCTTTGAGTACTTACGCACCCTAGGGAGCTTGTAGAACCCTAGACAGGTTCCAGATAGATCTCGGTATTATAGAAATAAAGTCAAGGAACATATGGAATGAGATAGAACCTCTTCACAAATCTTAAATGTCCAATTCAATACTAGAATAATAAGGCAGTGTAGTATTAATCAGAATACTCAGCCGAATGTTGGTTGCATTCATTTGCTAAGAAAACAAAACAGCCAGAGAGATGGAGGTCATAGTAATATCTGAAGTCACAGTACTAGGGAAACTGTGGCAAAAGGAGAGCAAGTTTGAGGGCAGCTGGACGACATCTCAAGACTCTCAGTAACCAACCACCAGCAAGCAGCGGTATACTTACCTCACACCTGCTGTCTCTTTTTTGCACCATACAGCTGTTTTATTAAGTTCCTGGGTCCCTGCTCCCTATCACACTGAAAGTAGTAACCTACAAAATCAAGAGGGAACAAGAAAGATTGGTGAGTCACATCTTTAAAGAAATATTTTTCTGAATACTAATACAGGCTGATGAGAAGTATAGAC